CGCAGGCGGCCGAGCGCCTCGGGAGGAGAGTGCCCTGAGCAGCCGGCGTCTCTCCTCCCACACCGCTCAGCCTTCTGTCGCAGATCAGAGGATATCGGTGTGGGCGGAGAGAGCTCTCAATGCGTCACAGGAGGCTGAGCTCCGCTCGCTCAGCCTCCTGTGACAGCAAGTCAGGATGGAGAGCCAATGCAAACACTCAGCCATCAGTGAGTGTTTGTAAATAATTGAGGGCATGGCATGTTTACTATATCCTCAATTATGAATGAATGGGAAGGGATCTAAATCACCTCCTGTTCATTCATGATTGTGGTTATAGTAAACCCACTCTGTCCTCATGTTATGAATGAACACTCATAGAGGATTCCTGTTCATTTATAACGGGCTGCAGAAAAAGATTGAGGACTCTGTCCTCAATCTCTTTCTATTTTAAAAGGGTAATATCAGGGGTTTAGACCCCCAATATTTCACCGAAGCCCCTAAAAGTAAAGCTTAAAAATGTAATTATATAAAATGAAAAAGTTTATTAACCCCTTCGTGACTGACGACGGGAGCTGGGGAGGAGGTCGACGAACTTCCGTTCATCGATCCCCTCCCCGTTCTATGGGACCGGGAGCGATGCAGATTGCATCACTTCCGGTCCCTGGGCTGTCAGTTCTGGGCTCCTGGAGCCCAGCTATAAGCTATTGAAGTGCAATCTGCACTTCAATAGCTTATTTCCAGTGTAAAGGTGACACTGGGGGTCTTTTGGACCCCCAGCATCACCTTAAAGAGTACCTGTCACGACCATCTGCTATCACATGGGGGGGCTTGTAAGCCCCTCTATGTGATAGCAGTCAAAGTAAAGTTAAAAAAAAAAAAAAAAAGCTTTTTCAATTAAAATTAAATAAAATCAATCTAATAATAATAAAAAATGTTTAAGGCCCCCGCGAGCACGCGCGTCGCCACGTAAACACGCGTCGGGTGCGCCTACGTATGAAAACGACGAACGCGCTACACATGTTGGGTATCGCCGCGCACGCCGGAGTGAGAGCAATAATGCTAGGGCCAGTATTTTGGGGTATCTCTAAATTGATGACCTGTGGGGGCTTTTAAAGCGTCTTCTATTGACTTTTTGAGGTACTGCAGTTTTTCGCCGTTTCACGGACGCACGCAATTTGTAACCTATGCATGTTGGGTATCGTTTTACTCGTTGTAACCTCATCTTTTATATGTCATTTAAAAAATTGGTATTTTGTTGTGTTTTGGGGCATTAAATTAAAATTTTCACTAAATGTTGGGGTTTAATAAGGAGTTGCGCTAATATTGCGCAACATAAAAATTTGCAACTACCACCATTTTATTCTATAGGGTCTTGGCATTCAGAAAATATATAATGTT